CTGACCGAGAGCTCTGTAGTTGTTCAATAATGAAATTCATCCTCAAAAATACAAATTGCCTAATAATTGTGCACGCAGTGTATACTTAATGGCACTGTCAGGGGTGACATAAAAGGAGAGTTTACATGCTGGCACCCTAAGGGGCCAGTGTGGTCGATTATATTATGATTTCCCCAAACTTTGAACATGATATAGCTTACTTCTATAGTGGAACTCGCCCTGATAGTGACCACTTCCCACTAATTTGTCTTTTTGATTCTAAAACAAATCTTGAACCATTATTAGTAGCTCATTGCCCCACTGACATTACAACAAAGGGGCAAGTACAGAACAAAAGGTCTCAAGGTCTGGCTAAAGTTCTGTCTGGGCTCTTGATCTCAGAGCCTCTGCTTCAAACGCACACCCAAATCTGCTTAGCTGATTCATATGAACAAGTAATGTCATTGTATCAGTGAACTGTTGTTAATCTCCAACTCTCCCTAACAAGATTTTCAATAGCTAATGGTGTTTATGCAAATAAAAGGTCTAAATCTTGGTACGATAATGACTGTATTAAGGCTAAAAAGGCTCTCTTAAATGCAATAACTTCCTTTTGCCAGGAAAATTCTTTGAGTGCTTCTAAATTACTTAAGATTCAAAAAAAAATTATAAAGATCTCTTGAAGATAAAGAAATGGCAGGCTATTAGAGAGAATTGGAGGAATTTAATTTTAGCAGGAAAGCTTAAGAACTCCACTTAGTTCTGCCACTTAATAAATCAGTCTCTTACAGATAGACACTTTGGTCCTATCACACAAATATCTGCATATAATTGGGAGGATCATTTCTATAACATCTTTCAAAGGGAATCTACTGTAATTTCAGATGTGATTCCCTCTTTTAACAACCTCCCAGATTGGCCACCAGCATCCATAGCTGAAGTTAAAGAACTTATTGCCCCATTAAAACCAGGTAAAGCGTGTGGAGGTGATTTTATCCCCCCAGAATTAAGGGAAATTGATGGACCCTAGTTTTGGCCGCCTTATTAATACATGTTAATAACACAGGAAATTTTCCATCTGATTGGAATCAGGCCACTGTTGTACCAATATAAAAAATAAAGGAAATAGACTGGACCCTACAAATTATAGGCCCATTCATTTATTAAACACAATAAATAAATTTTATGCCAGATTTCTGTATCTAAAATTAAGGAATTGGGTACAAAATGAAAATATCATTGCTGAAGAACAGGCCAGATTTAGAAAGGGATGATCAACGTTAGATCATTGTTTGGTTCTCCACCATTTGGCAGAAAAATATTCTGTGCCCCTTCGTGGCTCCCTTTTTGCAAACTTTTTTGATTTTAAGTCAGTTTTTGATCTAATACCAAAGGAGAGACTGTGGGATAGTTTGAGACATTCCACTATTGATAAAAAGCTGTTCATGCTTATTCAGTCACTTTATTCAAACACCTCCCTGAAAATTAGATGTACTTCTTGGGGACATTTATCTAAAGCAGTCCCAACTTATAGAGGTGTAAGACAAGGGTGCACATTAGCTCCATTACTACTGAATTTATATCTAAATTCAATCATTCAAGTGCTTGCTGATCAAGCCCGTCATCCCCCCATTTTGGCTGATCGTGCGATCCCAGCACTACCATATGCTGATGATTTAGTTATTATGTCTACTTCACAGGTGGGAATGAGAAAAGCACTTAGGGCTCTAGTTTTATTTTGCACAGAACATAAACTATCAATAAATTATCAGAAAACCAAAAGCCTAGTTTTTGCCAGACACTGTCATAAAACTCACAAATGGCAAATAAATGGGATTCAAATAGAACAGGTGTGCACCTATAAATACCTTGGAGTACAGTTCCATGCTTCCTTATCCTGGAATGCTCATTTTTTCTACCGGGCAAGTATTGCACAGCATACCACTTCAGCTATTGTAAGATTTTGCCACTCAAAAGGAGCCCAGTATATCCCTGCAGCTTTCAAGCCAAGGTAGTCCCTCACCTTCTCTATGGCTCTCAAATTTGCTCTCTTGCAAAGTTCAGTATTATTGAAACCATTCAAAATAAGTTTATCAGAGCCATATTGATGGTTCCAAAAAGTCATCAAAAAGTGTCAAAAATGCCATCATCCATGTAGAAATAGGTATAGTTTTGTTGGATGCTAGGGCATGGTTTCTTCTTCTTACCTTCTGGTTAAAGTTAATTCTATTTCCCATAGGGTTAGGCCCATTAGTATATAGAGATTGCTTTAAATCATCATGGCTTTAAAAAGCCTTAGATAAAATTCAATTGCTAAGCTTCTCTATGGAAAGTCTGTGATCATTAGGTTTTGATAATGCTAGAACCACCCTTAAAAAACGAATTTGGGGTATAAATCTCCAAGCAAATTTAAGCAAGATGCTACACCCCAATATTTCTCATTTTCTCCCAAAAGGGTTCATTCCAGCCTCCTATTTGTCATCCATTACAATTCTTAAATTTCATAAGGCCTTCACCTTAGCCAGGCTGGATGCTTTGCCTTCAGCAGTCCTTTTTGGACGTTCTAAGGGCACTCCTATGCACCTTCAGTTGTGTCCATGTGGTGATGGCTCCATAGAAACTCTAAGCCATATGCTACTATATTGCTCCCTATATAAGGACTCTAGACAGTATATATCCTTATATATCTGATCTTGAAGAAATTTCCAGGTAGGGAGTATGATTTCTATTTAAAGTTACTTCTTTCGGACATGGACTCAAAAATATCTGCCAAAGTTGCCCAGTTCTGTGCTACCATCTGTACGATACGCTGCACCATTACCTAGCTTTAGAATTTCTTATAACAGTATATTTTGATTTATTTTAGTATTTTTATTCTTAATTATTTTAAACCCTATTATATTTACTATTTTTCTGTCATATAGATAGATAGACAGACAGACAGATAAATGTAATACTGCTATTATTAGATATTTTGACTGTATCTGGCCTTAGGGCTGTAATAAACTTGATGACGATGACAACAATGATGTTAGGGATACATGACTGAAACTGCCCAACGCCCAATTCACCTTTATGAAATGTGGAAAGCAAGAGAAAAGTATGAAACTTTTGCAATGTACTGCATTTTCAGATAGAAGCATAGTTTGGAATATTGCATGTATAGATTAAATAAATGCTATTATTTCATTCCCCCACCCCACCCCCTGATCTTGCAGCACTGCCACATCATGGTCTGGGTAGGGCTGTTCCTGGAAGGGATGAATGAAAAACCTTGGGAGTGTATGCCAAGAGTATATATATATACCCCAGTAAGTTCACCCAAGATGTGAAGGTCATTCCAGCTGCCCAGGTAAAGCAAGTAGGCACCTATATTGGCCAGCAGCAATAAGGAAAACACTGAAGGCAGACGATCATGTCAGTGACAATGGCAAAGGCATCATTTCATATTGTGTGAGAGAAGGCAATGGTATACCACTCCCATATTTTACCAAAACAAAAACAAAAACACATGGAGAAGAGTCTCTGAACTCAAAAGGAAGTTCCAACCTCAAATTGAAGAAAAATGGAAGTTAGTAACTGTTTTTTAAAAAAACAAACAAAGATGATTCTTTACTCTGAATTATAAGAGTTAGGACTTAAACCAGGTTCTATAAGAAATAAGAATTGGGAGCAAGTGTGGAGGTGTTACAGGTACTCCTCAGGTTACAACAGCAATTGGGAGTGGAATTTCCATCACTAAGCGATGCAGTTGTTAAGCACGTCACAACCGCATTGCATAGCAACAGCAATCCCAGCAGTCCTGATTGCCATCGTAACCCCAAGACTATGCAGTTGTTAACCAAGGACCTCACATGACCATGACGTGGGAAGAGGCGGGAGTCCCAGGCAAGCAGGCAGGTGGGTGAAAGCTGCAAGCAGGTGCTGCAGGCAGGCATTACAGAGTACGCCACGGGCGGGTGGGCAAAAAAGCAGCAGGAGCGGAAGCCACTTGTGACGTCTCCCAGCTTCCCTATTGACTCCGCTTGTGGGAAGCCAGCAGGGAAAGTTGCAAATGATGATCTCACGACCACGGGATACTGTGACAGCCACAACTTTGTGGACCAGTCGCAAGTCCCCCTCATTCAGCACTGTCGTAACTTTGAATGGTTGCTGAATGAATCTTCCCTCAAGTCCCAGGCAAAATAACAAAGCATTGCTAACAAAATACTGCTTTACCGGATGCAAAGTTAGCCAAAGTCTAACAAACTGATGGTAGTATCAACTGTCATGGCCAAAGGCCATTTGGCAAGATCCCCTGCTATCTGCGGCTCTTCATGTGACTAAGGGCTAAATGGTTCACGCAACCACCCACCCCAGCAGAAGCCTGTTGGCACTTAAAATGCCAGGAAACCTACTGTTTAACGGAACAGCAAAGATTACACTTGACTGGCTGATCAAATATTGCACACGAACATCGCAGTTCCCTACTTCCATTCTATTCCTGGAAAGGCTTCATTCGGAAATAGGGAAGCCGCCCAGAGCCAATCAGAAGCGCGCCCTCTTCCCCCCACCCCCACCGCGACCGTCATCTTCCAGAGAGCGGAATGGCGGGCGTGGGGGAGACTGGCCTCTCCCCTCCTTGGCCGCCCCCACAAGGAAGGGAACGTGTCCAACGCGCTCGGGCGAGTTACCCGTCCATTACATCCAGGTGCAGGTAGTCTGCGCCGCAATCCATCATGCGCCTGCACTCGGCTCCCAGAGCCGCCAGGTCGCTGTTGAGAATGGAAGGACCTATCCGACATCCGGACGCCATAACTGTCTCTCGGAGGCCTAGAAGCCGAATTCGCCCCGACCCGGAAGCAACTCGGGCCTCGCCAGTCCACGAGATTGCGTTAGCGGAAGGGAGCTTGATGGGAAATGTAGTTTTCCTTGTTCGTCGAAGGCGTGGCTTTGAAACGGGCCGCCCTGGGCGAAGTGATCTTGCTTGTCATACACCAACCGTGAATTAGTCTCCTTGCGCGGGTTCGGACCACGTGCTGAGCAGCTAGAAAGTAAGCCAGTACGTTGTGGGAACCCCGAAAATTAATAATCTTATGTGGAGTCAGCCCCAGCTCTCCAAACGTTTAGTACTCGGGAAGCCCCTGAAGGGAGGTCGAAGGGCCTCGCACTTTTCCCGTCTTATATGCGTTCTCTATACGAACCGTGCAAGGACGAGAGAGGAATCGGACTTCGGGTAACTGCGCTGCGGTCATTCTGCCGAATATAATAAATAGTCGGTCGAATAGACCTAAAGAGATTGGTGCGTTCTGGCACATCCTCTGTTTCAGATTTCAAAATGGTGATAAGTCGGATGGCAAATTTTCATCTTCTGCTAAGCAGTAGTTTCTATTGATTTGGGGCCATCTATTTGATTTTGGGGGGGGGGATGCGCGCGCCTTTGAGTCAGTCTTGACTACTCCCGGCGACTGCAGTTTTCTCCGCAAGATTTCGGAAGGGTTTTGCCCTTGCCTGCTTTCCAGGGCTGAGAGAGAGTGACTGGCCCAAGGTCTCCCAGCTGGCTTCGTGCCTAAGGCGGGACCGGAACTCCTAGTCTCCCAGCTTCTAGCCTGGTGCCTTAACCACTGCACCAAACTGGGTCTCCTATTTGGGAGGTTTAGGTATTTCATGTCAAGGGAAATTGCTATTTATCATATCTATGTCTGGGTGAAGAAATCACTGCACTGTTCCAAGAAACCTACTGGGAGAAATTTGAGGTTTTGATGGATTATGTTATGCATAGATTTCAAATTTAACAACCAAAAGGTTTCATCTCGTTCCAAGATGGTTCTGTACAACTGCAAATTCTATTTCCAGGATCTGAATATGACAAACAAGCATCAACATCAAAATGCACTGTCTCAGGCATCTCCAGTAGGCCAAATCTGCCCACATAATTAAGGGGGATGTGTTTGTCAAAATTATTTGTTCCAAAAAACCTCAAAAGTATTGAAATGAAATACATCATAATCTTCAGAAAAATTTAAAAATGAAATTTGAACTGAAACCCATTTTTTTTAACTGGGAATAATTCCAGAAAGCATAAATGAAAAGTATCACAACTCATTAAGATAGTTGCTGATAGATGGCCCAGCACTGGAAAAATGAAACTCTGCTGACAATATAAGATTTGGAGACCAAAATTGGTGAATATGCAGCTATGGCAAAAGTGACAGTATATAGTCATAAAAGAACTTTAATCAAATATAAGCAGAAATGGCTCCCCTATGTAGGACATACTATACAGCAAGGCAGATTTAAACATTTGGAATATGGCTTCTAGGAAAAGAGTCAAGAAACTAATTAAAACAACAGATTAAATTACTTAAACAGATCAAACAAAGATCTCCAGTATTTAATATTAAATATTAAAAGCATAGAATAAATATTTAATTAGTGGTTAGTAGTTGGGGAAAAAGAAGGAAAGCAGAGAATGTGTCACTAAATTCTTCAAAATGTTTTCATTGTGCCTTTTGTATCTTCATTCTTTACTCTTTTTTTTCTTAAGCTTATGATATAAATTTAATTTTTTTATGAATTAGTCCAATAAAACAGAAGCTGTCTGAATGGTATATACAAAACACCTTCCCTTAAGCTGTCAGAGCAGAGTTAGGAATCATGTAAAACCAGGGTGGAAGTTATGTAAAACCCCATAGATGGGAGGATGATACAATGTAATATCTGTACTTCTCTACTCTGAGAGCATAAAGAAGGTGGACTGTATGCACGATTCTAGATCTCCTTCCTGCAACCACTGAATGCCATACCTGGATGGCTCCTAAAACTAATGCACTGTATAAAGTTATTTTAAGTGCAAAGGTCCGTGGGTCCAATTCTTGGTACCTGTAGAGAGCTTGAACCCCACAGAATAATATTGGGCTACCCACATCTGAGGAGTCCAATAAGGATGAAACTGATAATGTGATGCCTCCTGGTAGTCAGTGTAACTGATAAAATCGATGACTCCATCAACCCAGGTGAGGACTGTCATTTAATATTCTAGACTAAGGTAAGTTAACCTGGTTTTGAGTTTTAGATGACAAAATGTGCGATAGAGTATAAGAATAAAGAAATATTTGGTAGGCAATGGCTACTAGTTATCAGATTGTTTAGTTTGTTAGAAATTTGTGAAATTTTGCACAGTCAACTTGCAAACAGAATATGGCAGAATGACTGCTAAAAAAAGAAAGTCCCTTTAATGCCTGAGTTCTCCTCGATAGGTTATATAGGTTGACCATATATGATACTAGAACTATTTGTAAGTAAAATAGTAAACATTCATTCTCTTAAAATTATCACCATCATCTTAAGAACATAAATACCTTCAGGCATAATGATGTATTTGTAGACAATTTATTTATGCATATTCAAACATGAAACTATTATAATCTCTTTCATAAACATAATTCAGACATTTCTATATTTTACTCTTCATCTTTGGTCATCTGGTGCGCATTACAGATCTATAACATTTTATTTCTATATCCTTTGATCCCATAGTTTTAAACATAGTTTTAACTTTTAATTGGGGTTTCATTTCCATTTTTTTTATTAAAAATTAGTTTTAATGGGTACAGATTGACTTCAAGAGTCATACAAACATTTTCATAAAACCCTCTCAATTTCAGATATTCTTTCAATAGTTAGCATGGCAAAATAGCCCTTCTTTCACTTCTTAAATGTAGCATATATCAATGAGAAGATAACATTCCTCTGATTATCCTGAGATCATTTATTAACCATATTTGCTGCTGCTATAAATAATTGAAACATTTTGTACAGGTAATTTTCCGTTGATAAATATTTTGAAATACAATATTTCTTTGGCAATGGAAGTATTCACTACATTGAAATCTTTGCGGAGAAAGCCCTGTTTTGGAAATTTAGAGAGAGTTTGTTTCTGAAGACACAAAGTAATTATACTTTTGAATGCCAATTCTTCCTTTCAAAAATAATTAAAATTCTACAGAAATTAAAATCAAATCAAGTTTTGAGAATTCTTGAAAATCTTGCAGCAGCATTCTTCAAAAATACATCTGATGGCATTCCTATACATGTACATATAAACATGAATACTGCAACGTTCAGCACAGCTATGGTCACATTAAGAAAGACACACATATATATGCTGTGATCATATTATAGATTAGCAATAGAATAATGTTCCCTTTCTATAAAACTGGACAAGGATTGGGCACTGCTTGAAAAAAATATTGGGAGGCACATGTTGAAGGAGGAACTTACAGGAAACTTGGAAGTATGGCTGTAATTTCATAACTTGGTATCGCAGGTCTTTTAGAAAGGGACATCATATAATTTTAATAATACCAATAATATGCTAACGTAAAAATCTAAAACAACACAGACATTTTTAAAAAACAACACTATTCCCACATAAGGCCTCTAACACTAGGTAAGCAAAATTAAGTTTCTTCACAGCAGATACATACTTGTCACTTATCAGTATACTGGAAGAAAGCAATACTTGTTAGAGTACAATTCTATGTGCCTTTAGTTAGTACAGTGCAACTAATATGAAAATAATACACAAGAAAAACACAGAATCACAGTAAATTGCTTAAGCAGTCATAGTTATTTTAGACTGCCAGGCTGATTTAAAAAAAAAAATCACAGGTGTAATTTCAAATTGCAACTGAAACAAAATCACAATAGGCATATTTTGAGGTTTTATTATGGCTTGCTAAAATGGATTCAGTACTTTACTCTGGGTCATACGAAAGATGAAATGTAATAACTAAAGATGAAGAGATTAACAGTCATTTTTGTTCCTAAAATGTAATTGGGTTTCAGGGCTTTGATATGTCTTATTTGTGTTTTGTGCATTCATACATATATGAGATGTACCTTGTGCAGAATCCAGAAGAGACATTTCTAGAGCTTTGGAGGATGTTTTAGTGAAAAGCCTTTTAGTATGCTTGCTCCTCAGTACAGTATAGCCCCTGTCCATTTCCTTTTGACTGTGTTAATAGTAGAATCAGGATCCATCTCTTCAGTTTTCATTTGTACAAGTTTCCTTTAATGTAGTATATTCCCATTTTTCTTAGTGGAAATCAATTATTTGAAAAGGCAGGAAAAAAGCCCATTCTACTGGAACATGACATGTTTCATTCTTTCGTCTGGCAAGAAAGCCTGTGGTATCCAGAGCACTATTTAGAAAACACTAAGGCTATGTGGAGTTTCAGATTCAGTATAGAAGAGGTGTTTCAGAATATGTGAGAATGTAAATATGGCATCTGTCTGTTAAGGCAGCCATGTAGCTGTTTCCGCAAAAAACATGCAGCTGCTTTAATGAATCATAGACAGCTACTATATTCATGCTCCAATGTATTCATGCTTCTGTGTGTTCTGAGTCAAATCTGAGGCACTACACATTCTTAGCTTGTTAAATGTGCTGCCAAAGACTGACACACATCCTCTTTATTTAGCTTGCTTCTGGAACAGAATTTAGCAGAGGCACTCCCATTGTCAAAAATGTTCTAGAAGCCAAGACAGACCACCTTTTTTTTCCACCTTTGAATACAACTTTGAGAGGGAGCTCTGGCTACATTCACACCAGCGCTTCAGGGTAAAACTCTCAATTTAGGTTCAGTACTAGCAATGGCTATTTCTAAGGCCCAGCCCCTGTTACTTTTGGAACATCCTCCGACTCAGATAATCAATAGTTTTTCCCTCAATTTCAGAAAAAGTCAAAACACTCCTCTAAACCATCACAGGGTGACAAGATTCCTAGGAAAAAGAAGTCCCACTTTTCTACCTCACCATCAAAGCCTTCCTCAAGCCATGCATTTGAGACTGAACAAGTTTGCTTCATAATTCTGGTAGCTCAGGCAAATACTCCTCCAGTCTGGACTAAAACTTGCAGTAAAACCCCCAGTTCCTACCATGGAAGATTGCCTACATATTTCCATTTCAGAAAAAGATATTAGGTCTGCTTCTCAGTGATTTACAGATCAACTGAGTTTACCCTCTCTTAGTACAGTACTGTCCTCCTTGATACTGAGGACATTGTACTGTATTGCTTGCCTCCAAAAGCTCACAGGACTCCTATTGATTGTGATCCATGTACCAAGAGCATTGACATGAAGACTGCTTTGGATGTTTGTGCTTCCCATCATGGGATCGATAACTTTTGTTTTTAGGCATGGTGTCTATGAATTATGATACATTATCCACTCTGCTTTAATATAGTGATTCACAGTATTTTACTCTCATCTTTTCTATCATGATGTTGAGCATGATCTCATGTTCTCCCGCATAATCTCTTAATCTCCATTCTCTCCTTCAACACTGAGAGTTGAAAATCTCCTGAAGCACTGTCCACTTCAAGGAGCTCTGGCTGACCTTGGCTGACTCTGCCAAAGCCCCAGCCCCACTTCTGGCCTATATACCAGTAGTTTGGGAATCTCTCTCTTTGCCTCTCTATATTCTCTAATGTCACTTTCAATTCCTGAGGATTCCTTATCTCCACTCTTGGACCAGAGTAATTACTAAACCTTGCAAGTGTCCCATTTTTTGTCTGATCACATCTTTCCCATCAAAAGACATTTGCTCATACAAGAACTTTGCTTAACAGACTCATTAGAATTGGAAGTACATTAAGCTAAGACATCTGTCAATAAACCAGTTTTTCAACTGATTTTCATCTGTGTTCCAATTTCAGTGTTACTGAAACACTTTCATAGTCTTCAGTCTTATGAAAGGCAGATGGCAATGCCCAATTCCTATGCCGTCTGTGTCCAAGAAGTGGGAGAAAATGAGTATCGGATATGATGTCTTCTGTTAGCCCAATCCATCAATTTAACAATTCAGAACCTAGTTTGAGGAACCATTCCGTCTGATTCATATGTTCTCACCATTGCTAGAAGATATGAAGAATCTTGCTCAGCTTTTTCTCCTGCACTCCACGTGGAAATCATGGAGCTCCGGAAGAAATAATAGAAACTGGTCCTCTGTTCACTAGAGTTTTTCTTCTAGGTATTCCTGGTAGAGAAATAAGATGGTAAAAAAAGGCCACTTGGATTTTTGAGACCTCAGTTGAAATGTTCACTTGGTCTTCTTATTCAACATCTTTCTCAGCTTAATTGCGGGTTTTCATTTGACCTGACTGGTCTTCAGAACGTGTATTTCCATATTTCTATCAAACTACAGTACTAAGATACATTTGCATCATTATTGACGGATATTGAGCACCACCTCTCAGTTTTCGCATTGCTCCAAGGGTTTTCATCAAGTGCATGACAATCATAGTGGTTCATTTCTATTTTAGGATGTGCACATCTATCTTGTAATCATTGGCAACTTACAGGGCTCTACTTGTGCAGACATGTTCTGCCGACATAACACAGCATTATGCATATCACCATGCTAATAACTGATGCCTGGTATCAGTTGCACATTTCACTAATCATTGCTCAGAGATATAGTAGCCACAACAGCAGTCTCTCCCTCTGCCAGAATTGGAATGCAAACTTCCTAGCATGGGCCTTGGCTTTGGATCATTTGAGGGGGGTTGCCTTTCTCTTACATTGGATCAAACCACTTCTTCGTGTCTTCTTCCCCACTCCTTTAACAACTAGGGCTTACAACCTGTCTCAGGTAGACTCAGCAGGCATCTTGATTAACTTCTGATAGCAAAGACAGTCCTGGTTTTCAAACCTCCTTTGAATTTCCAGAGGCATTCACTTATACTTACCTCAGCAACTGGATTGCTATACTCAAATGCAAGGTTGAGTTTACCATTCCCCCTTAAGGTCACTTCAGTTAATAGCATGGTTTGTTTCACTGATTCCTTCTCACCTGGGTTGATGCATACACTAAAAATAATTTGCAAACCTTCACTATTTCACTATATGTTACAATAGATTCTCCTTTCATTTAGTTTACATGAACTGGATTTTTTTTCCTGGGTACATATTTCTGCCTTTCATATTTCATGTTACCATTCTTCTGTTTTCTAGCACCTTGTGCTAAAATGACTGTTAAGTTTAGATTCTCAACTCTGTTCTTAGAGCTAGCCTTTCTTTTTTCACATTTCACATAGACAAAGTTGTATAAAGACCTGATATAACTTTCTCAAAAACTGTTTCAGAATTTCATGTTAATCAATCTATAGTATTGCCTACATTCTACCCAACTCCATCAATGACGTCAGACGTTGTCTCTGCATGTCCAATGCATGTAGAGTTTTGGTCTTTACATGGGTCAAACTACTTCATTCCATCAATCCGTATGTCTCTTTATCTGTTTTCAAAGTCAGAAGGAAGGGCTTCCAGTCTCATTTCAAAGAGGACAAAACAAAGAATCACATCTAGGAGCATGCATGGTAGAAACTGCACACCCTCTCTAAAAAACCTCTCCCACAACTCTAGAAGTTTTCAACATGGGTTCTGTGCAGCTACATCAACATATGTATAAATGCACACACAGTAATAAATGCTTATTTTCTTTAAGTAGAAAGTTGTTACTGAAAAGCATTTATGTAAAATATTAGTGATATTTTGTGGACTGGGAAATTCTGGGAGTTGTCCCAATATCTTTAGATGGCCCCAAGTTAGGGAAGAGTGCATTAAACCTCTTAAAAAAATATATCAATTTGCATAATGCATTTAAACATAAAAGGTTTTTTTACTACCATCATACCCTTATTCACTAAGACTTTATATACAACCATTCACTAAGTATAAGGATATGAATTTACAAAAAGGAGTATGTTTTCTGAACAGTATCATTCCTTATTCTCCCTAAAACCAATGAGAAACCCATCATAGAAGTAAATCAAAGTATAGGTTTAGCAACATTTAAAAAGTGGTGTACAGTTATATTATCTTGAACAAGAACAACAATGAAAGCAGCACGCCCCAGCATGTAGAGGTTGGAGTGGTTTAAAGTGATGGGAGAATTTATTAATGAGAACAGTACCACACTTCAATTTTGCCAAATCTTTTTGCTGCATAGCTTCAAAAAACCACTCCCAGCTAATTATGAAATATATATAATTTTTGCTTCTTATAATAGGCTATATATATGGCTGACACTACATCCAATTTAGAACCCTTTAAACATGAACTAAATTAAATTATTAATTTATAGCAACATGATATCAGAATAAAAAGGTTATTATCTACTTGAACATTAATGATTACATTCATATTTCATTTAGATTGCAAATCATCCATCAGTTACACACTTCAAATAGAGGTATAATGCATAAATGTTATTTTTTTTCACAGATTCACAAACACCTGCAGACTTATATAGGTGTGGAAATAAGCATTTTTGTGTCCTATACTGATTGAAACATAGTCATGACATCTTCCTGTAGCATACCTGCTACTAATGATGTTTGTGATAAATATACTCTGCGTAACTGTGTCTCCTTTCTGAGATTACAAAAATAAACTTTAAGGTACTATATTAAGGTGGCCTGCCTTCTAAAAGATCATTCTCATTTTCTTTGTGTCATGTTTAATATATTGGAGAGGCTAAGAAGCAAAAGATTCATATGTCATGATTAAGTTTTGTCTAAGAACATTCCAAGTTATTCTTCAATATTACAGTGTGTCCTGAGTCCAACTAGATCTTCCAAAGGCATAGCTAAGTTTATGAAATATATTGACCCGCCTTTACCAAACAGGATATGAGATATCTCTCATTGTTTATAAAGTGCTCTTTCAATTACTTATAGAGAGCTATGAAGATTAGAGGAAAGTCTTTGCTTCCTCTACTGTACTGCAGTTTCTCTCAAATCAAACATGTGACTCATCCAGGCCAACATCAGTTTGCCCCATCTCAACATGTGTGAAGTTGAACTGGCTGGAAAGAAGGGGATTCTCCATCCCATTGTCTTCACTTATGTGAAGCACAGTATCTTCATGCTGCAGCAAGCTGGTTGTTTCTAGGCCTGCAAAGTCCTCAGTGTCAGAAAGCTGTGTGGTTGGGGAAGTACTATGAGCAGGTGCTTGCTTTTGCTCTGAATCATCCTCCTTTTGCTTATCCTTTCCAGCAGCAACTATCTCAACCTGCAATGAATAGAAGTTAATATAGATCCATAGTATTTTACCACATTGAAATGTTATCCTATATATCTGGAATTCTCCAAGAGTTCCCTTGAGATAGTGGTACCATGGGGCAAAGCCAGTCACAATAGAGTGGCAGACAGAGATGGACTTTGTTGTAATTAGAGGCTATCTTTTTTCTATGCATAGCACATTCCTTTCTGGAAATTGTTAAAAACTTTGCCATAGTAACTTCCTAGTAATAGGGAATATTCCTAGTAATAAGGAATTCCAGCGTCCACCTTTCCTCAAGTTAAATTCAAGCATTGTTGAACTGCACTTGAGGGTAGGAAGAATGATGAGAGGAAGCAGTAGTAGCAATAGTCATCACTGGAATTTATCTGAAATGGGAGAAGGAGACTAACAGGCAGTGCAACACCAATCCTTACATCTATTGTATTGGATGGTCAAATACTGTTGGAACACTATGGTGCACTGCTGAGGTCTTTGCTTGTCCTCCACCTTTACCAGGTAGGATAGGTCTAGCCACCAGAGATGAGTAGAGTCCTGGAACTTAGCTGCATCATGACCTTCCTTCCCAGTTCAGAAGGTACTAGCTGATCCAGAGCCTCTAAGCTTTCATTCGCCCTTTAAACTATCTTATCTCCTGTCTTTTTCCTTTTGCAGGGCTTAACCAGTTCTAACTCCCCTAATTATCCTCCCTTATACTTTCTGCATTTACAGTACCTACTTTACTTTACTTTCTTTATTGAAAATGTGATTATATTTATTATAAAATTATTAATAAAATATGGTCAACTGCCAGCAATTAAAAAAAAAGCAATTAAAAGAGAATAAAATACAATGAAAATATAACACAAGTAAAGATTAAAGAAGAATAAAAGCCTAAAAGAGAGAGAGAGAACTGGAGAATAACAGAACTGGTAATAGGATATCAATAGTATTAGAACAAAACCAGTATTTTCCTTCTGATTGAGATAGCAGCCAGTAAGAACTTAGCCACTTTATTTGTAACAAATTGGTTCTGATCTGCATTATTATATTGTCTTCAAAGTGAAATCTACTCAAAATAGTTTAAAAATACAGTTCTGAAAAAAAAAGCAAAGAACTGTAACTTCTTTCAGTAACTCTGCCTGCTACTTGGTCTGCCTGTCATATTTCCTCATTTTTCTTCCCTCCACCCTGAATGCTACAAGCTTGCTGTCTAACGAACTCCAATTCCCATATCAGGTGCTGCTGGTGCCTATTCGAAAGGATGCAGTGGAGTGGGTCCCAGTTTACAATTTGAGAAAAGCTGTTCTAAGTCTTACAGAAATCAATTTAACTGAAATTGTTTGGGTTAAATTAATAATCCAATGTACCAAAGATACATATATAATGTACCAAGTTCATTACAATAATTCTACAGAGCATTAAGACAACATTGTAACTTTTTAGACATCAGAGCCACATTTTCCTTCCTTTAACCTGCTTGCTTCCAACTCAAATCTTGCAAGAAGGAAACAGGAGAAGGGTGATAAGCATCACAGTTGATGTTGAAGTCTCTCTCCTTCCTTTTCCACCACCACCCCACCCACCCCCCACAGACCCTATGAGAATGAATCACTATAGAACAGGTACATTTTTAGAGATTTGTACTTTGCATTTTTCTTTGTATGCAGAATTATTGCTATTGGTTATTGCCATTCCAGACAAAAGAAAAACATGGGCTGATTGTGATTAAAGTATAATAATTAGTTGTGTGCAAAACCCTGTGTTCTAGTCAGAAAATGTGGCATTCCCTGGAATCTTCTGTTTTTCTTTTAGATCCTGCTGAACCTCCATTCTTTGTGTGAGTGATTTTTTATTTTCTGAAAGTGGATCCTCTGGAACAGGAAGTGATTCACAGGGTTCCAGACATGGTCTGGCACTGGAACACCACAACCGTCTCTCCCATGTTCCAAACCAGGTTTGCACACATCTGATATCTACATTATCCTAAAATTATAGTAATGAAACATGGACATTGCATATCTATTTAAAAGAAAATAGGCTCTCCTTTTCTGCAATAATAGTGTTAAATATAATAGGAAGAACTCTTTATAGGAAAAAGGGTAGAAAGTCATGTTATCAACAATGGAAAAGGGCTATGCATTGTATGGAAGCTAGATGCTGTGTAATTAGTTAACATGGTTATTAATATAGAACAAACAAACACAAATGTTTAAAACATGCAGGTGCTGTCACACATGTCCTTTACAGTATTGAGAGCTGTACTCTAACTTGGCATGAGTCTTGAAGCCAGAGAACAATGTGGTCTTTTGGGATATATTTAAATTCACTCAGGCCAGAGATGTCTAACTTGCCCTATACTCAATTCAAAATCCTCCATGGCACTCCCCTCTGACAAGAAGATTGGAAGTTTAAAAGGCTTCTTTTTGGCACTTGCTGTTCTGGTGGGATAAAAGGAAGGGGAGGGAATGCTGGATATAATGACTCCTCAACTCATCATCAGACTACCAAAGCTGCTTCAGGAATGGGGTGGAAACTATTTGGAAGAGAATCCTTCCTTTAAACACTAGCTCACATTGTTATTTCCCATTTCCCATTATTAAAATTAGCTTCTCTTGTTTCCCTGACTGGCTTAAAAATATGCTTTCTCCTGCCCTTTACCACTCCGTTGTTACCACCATCTCTTCCTTTTGCATAAAACCCTATCTGCCCAAAATTTGTCACAGATATTTCTCACTATAAAAACAATTTTTGCCACAAATGTAATTACCTCTAAAGCAGAATGTAATATTTTACAGAATGTGATAAATAGGGTATTTTTAATAAGATCAGAATTTAAAGGTGCATAATTTAACTCTGCTCCAATTGTGATTAAATCTGACATACTTTATCCCTTAATAGTGATCTAGCCTTCCAATAAGCCTATGGTAAAAAACAAAAGTTATAGTCACTTTAAGAAACAGATTTTAAAGACCTGTAGTTCAAAAAGCCTTTTCATCACTTTATATAACATTTAGCAAGCTTCTTTACAAATGTTTTAATAGTTCTGCAAATTCCAACCTGTTCTGATAAAAAACAAAAAGAATAGCCATTTATTTATCTTGCCCCATAGGAGAAAATAACATAAATAGTAGAGTGGAGGTGTAGGTTTTCTAATTAATGCTGGAGAGTCATGCTTAAGAGCCAAAAATGTGTTTCATTACCTAAAATTAAATTATATTGGCTTTATACACTTTTCTCGTGCTTATGCAATTTTTTAAAGTAACTGTACAGGGAGACACAGATTCAAATCCCCAGTCCACAGTAACCTACCTCACAGGGCTGTTGCGATAAGATGGAGCCATGTATACTGCCTTGAGCTCCTGGAGAAAAGGTGAGCTATAAATATAATCAATCATTCAGAAAATTCATAATCAGTCATTTAGTCAGTCAGTCAGTCAATTCAGCATACAATATAAAATAATCCTATTTGAGTTTGAAAGCAAGGAAATGTGTAGTATGATAATGTTATGTCATGTAAATATGGGTTGGAGATAGAGAAAGTATGTTTTCATACATCTGCTTGGTACGCATAAACACCAAATTACATTCTAAGTTTATTATATCCACACCAAAACAACACTCAGATTAGGGTATTAGTAAAATGCCCTCAAATTAGTAAAATGACATTTTCTTTCTATACTTTCCAGGAAAACTTGCTGAATAACCTTAAATTGCTAAACAACTATTATATTTGTTTTAACTTCACTTCCTTTTCTAAGAACACATAATGTATTCTTTTTTCGTCCCATACATTAGATCTGGGAACTAATACTCAATATATATCCATATCCTACTGCAACTGGGCCATATCTAAGATCACATGTGGTATCTATTTCTTCCTAGTTAATCCTTACTACTTCCCATCCCTTCTTTAGTTGTTTTCTTTGCTTAAAACTTTAGTTTGATGCTTTTTGGGAAAGGGACCTGTTCTGTAAAGTATCATGCGTAGTGGAATGTTCAAAGACACTTGCAGATGGAATAAGGCAGGAGGAGTCATCCTAGTGCCCTACAGATACTTGGATGGATGGATGGATGGATGGATGGATGGATGGATGGATGGATGGAATCTATTTACTATGCTTATAGGCTGCTCCAGTCGTGGAAGGCTTTGAGCAGCATACATATCCAACATCCATCAATCAGGTTTTAAAAAGTACAAAATTATAACAGTAACAACCAAACACAGTGCCAGGGAGAGTAACAATGCATCCCAACACCCAAGGTCTGCTGGAACAATTAGGTTTTAATGGCCTTCCTAAAACAATAAGGTAGGGGCCATTCCAGATTCCTGGGGGAATTCTGCTGTACAGAATGAGGGCAGTAACTGAAAAAGACTCACTTCTGTGATCCCTGTTGATTATATTCCCTGAGAAAAGACACAGAAGGAGCCTGCTCTATCAAATCCTTTATAATTGGGAAATATAGTTGGGAGTATGGGGTCCCAGAGCTAGCTAGTTCTCTGCCATATAAAGTTTTAAAGGTGATAACCAACACCTTGAATTGTACACAGAAAACAAATGGCAACCAGTGTAATTCTCAAAGTAGTGCTGTTATATGGATGAATCAAGATGCATCCATGACTATTTGAATCACTGTATTCTGAACCAGCTGTAGCTTCTGAACACTCTTCAAGGGCAGCCCATGAACAGCATGTTGCAATAATCCATGTGAGAAGTGATAAAGGCATATATGACTGTGAGGAGAGCCCCCACTCCATGAGGAGTCATATTATTGCCATGCTATAGGCTAGAACATGAGCTTTTATTCATTTTCAGCCTGATTCACTCTTTGTCTTCCATCAGTGATCCTCTAGGTGTCTCCTGATTTACTTCATCGCCCAGAGTTCCTCTGAATTGTAAACTAGGAGAGGCTGCTCAGGCACAATTCTGTCCAAAGCTTTTGTTGCCTCCCTATTCCAGCAGGCAAATAACATCTCTGCAGAACTCTCATCACAGCCTCAAGCAATGTCCCAAGTGCCTCTGGAAGCCAAGTAGTTCTATTAGATATCCTATTCGGAGTGGATTGATTGAATAGGTCCATCCTCCCTGCAGAGTTTGATAACACTACTGGACAACTCTACAGCAGAGAGTGATCTGACCATGATGGGCAGATTGCAATGTCTCCAAACCTCAGCTCACATTACATCTGCCGTGAGTCAAAAACGAGATCTAGCATATGGCCTCCTGCATGAGTTGGGCCCTGGATGATCTGGTACAGGTTCATGATTGTCATGGTGGCAATGAACTTCCAGGCCATCTCTGATAAATAGCCCCAATAAAAACATGTTAAAATCCCCCAACACTATAAGCCTGGGGAGTTCCACTGCCAATCAAGAAATGAGGTTGAGTAACTGCTACCACTGAACAGCAGGGAAGTCAATACAGCAGCAGCACTCCCAATTTGTCCCTAGTACCCAGTTAACAAATAAGGCCTCACATCCAGTTATCTGTGGAATAGAGACTCTAGACTGCCATCAGAGTCCCCAGATGACTAATCAATTCCCATTAGTCTCCATAAAGGTTACTAATGCCATGGAATTGTGGGAGCCATAAGATAGAACATCCAGATGGCATCTAGTTATCTACAACTAGAATAAGAGTTTAGAAAGATACATTGTGCTTAATATGAGAAAACAAATGGCTAACTTTCAAAGAATAATGCACACTGTAGTTGCAAACATTATCTGGCATGTTCCATAGAAAGTAGCAAGCATGTTTTCTGCTGTATTAAATTACCTGGTGGGAAGAGACTTGACTGTGGAGATCTGCCACAATAATAGTCGGTGATGATGTCACAACAGATTTATTGGTAACTTCCTGCTTGCTACCTTCTGCAGGGCTGTTCCTTTTGCTGCATTGTTGCTGCTGGGCTGTAATAGGTGTGGGATCAGATTTTGAAGTTGATGCCTCTGACTGAGCTTCAGTGAAGGTTACAGATCGTTTTTGATCCACTGCAAGTAATAAGCAGCAATGGATACACAAGGATCAAAAAAGAATCTGAATATGTGTCATCATTATATTAACAAAAATAGTTGCTAATCCTGAAATGGAGCTCCTGAAACTACTGCCTAAAAAAATTTATATCAAACCTCCCTCCCCAAATTGAAACTGATATCAGGAACTTCCTTAAAACAGATATGTACATCTAGAGCAGAGATTGACATATTTAGGGCTTGGGGACTTCACCAGAACTTTAAGGACCACCCCTGTACATAGCAACAAGTCTCTGTATCTTTCCTCCATAGTTGCTCAAAACCAGCGGTCTGGAAAGTTAGGGTGCAGTACTACATACAGCACTGCCACTATCTGCTGCTGCTATGTTTCCTATTATATTTATTTATGCATGAATACGTCTATCTTTAAAACCATTACAGAAATATTTATGACAAGAATGCAATCTATGAACATAATTTATTTAAAATACAAAGAAATAAAGTGAAGGAACGTGTTCTGAGAGACTTCCTCTTTGCCAATGACTGCACCCTGAATGCTGGCTCAGAGCCAGAGATGCAAGTCAGTATGGACAAATTCTCTACGGCTTGTGACAACTTTGGACTCACCATCAATATTAAAAAGACCGAAGTCATGAACCAGCCTGCTCCTCATGCACCATACACAGAACCCCAAATCACAATCAAAAGGCAGAAACTACAGGCAGTGGACCAGTTCAAGTATCCTGTCAGCACTCTCTCCCAAGTAGTGACCATTGATACAGAAGATAACTGCAGAATAGCAAAGGCAAGTTCTGCTTTCGGTGGTCTGTGCTCCACTGTGTAGTAACGTCGAGGAATCAGTCCAGCAACAAAATTGAAGGTTTACAGAGCCGTGGTACTCACTACCCCTTCTGTATGCCTGTGAAACATGGACTGTGTATCAAAGGCATGCAAGACAGCTCAACCATTTCCACATGACTTGTCTTCGCAGAATATTAGGCATCAGATAGCTAGATAAAGTACCAGACACTGAAGTTCTCTCTAGAGCAATTCTACAATCAATCCACACATTGCTGATGAGAGCACAGGCCCAGTGAGTAGGTCCCGTCATCTGTATGCAGGACAAGCGCATACCCAAGCAGCTCCTTTTTTGGGAACTCTCTGCTGGAAAACGCTCACATGGAGGGCAGAAGAAATGTTATAAAGATACTTTAAAGGCCTCCCTGAAGTCACTTGACAGATGCAACCACCTGGGAAATGCTGGCACAAAATTGCGCTACCTGGCCTGGCCCCATCCGTAAGGCTGTCAAGCTTACGAAGTAAGGTGCACTGTGGAAGCACAACATAAGCGCGAGCTGCACAAGTCTAGAGCCATCAGTGCAACAACTGCAGTTTCTACATATTTGCCCAACATGTTCCAGGACATTCTATGCCCAAATTGGCCTGATCAGCCATCTTCAGATACGCCACATTTAGTTTTAACATGACTAATGATGCTGAGGTCTTCATTTACAGTGATGGACAAACAACTAATGTGTAGATATCTCTGAGTCTGAACAGGACATATTTGGAGACAAGTTCAGAAAACTAAAATTGGAGAAATTAATTTGAAAATAATTTATTTAGAAGTTATTTGGGGAAATAGGCTTAAGAGCAGAATACAATGTGCTCAAAAGTATTCAGATTTGTCTTCTAGCCACATCAGTTTTCCTTTATGAAATTGATGTTTTGTTACAGCATTACATTTTTTGATTGTGTATGTCACAAAAGGAGGGACATACAGTGACAATTTGATTTCATCATATTGCTTTCTCTAAAATTGAGTATGCTTAGAGGCCCCAAAGAGTTAGATGGGCTACAGCCAAGTCAGATTTAAGGGAAGAGTGGAAGAAAACAGCAGAGGTAAGGCTATAGATAGGCCATTAGGAAAAGGTAAAAGTCCAAAAGAGAGATTAAGGATAGGAGATCCTGCAGGGCTCATGTATCTAAGAGAAGTTCTCTCTGACATTTGCTTGTCCATTTAATAGACCATGTTTAAAATCGGATTTCTATGCATATGCCACTTTGTCATGGGTGCCATACTTGCAGATAAAATAATAGAAAAGATTCTGAGATCTCTTCCAGGCCCCCAGCTTTCTGTGATGCAATCCTCCACAACACACTTTAAGCAAATGTAATTTTCCAGATTTTCTTCCATACTGTAGATTTGAACATTAAAATACTCTAAGTATATGTATGTCTATCCTTAAACCATTTTGAGTTTACAGCTTTCAGAGAACATTGCCAACCAATAAGGGCTTGCTCTTTCTCACTAAACTGGCCCATAGGGGTGTGCCCTGCCCCTGAACATCCAACAGTCAAAGTAGAAACAACAAAATAATAACCCATTATACTTTTCCTCCAAACAAAATAAAATACATTGCTAGCTCCCCATCACCCATGTATGTCTGTACATTTATATGGTGATTTATAAAATCCAAGATGTTGTTAGGGGGGAAAGCAACGTGAGGGAAAGTCAACTCTATAAAATGTAAATAAACATTCAGAAAATGCTCAAAAGCTTTCTAGCTATGGTGTTGGCTACTGGTTGGATTCTGAGCTCTTCTGATTTGTGAAGGTGGCAGTGCTGACAATTCTGCATTTGAACAACTTTCTTACTATCTGTAATTGTGGCAGCCTACAGGTGGATGCTGAGCTAGGGGAGTTAAGGAAAAAAGACATCTAAACCTGTACAAATAAGGGGACACTAAAAGTCCACAAAGGTTTAAACTTCTATAGAGAAATAGAGAAGCTTCACTGCAGTTGCTACATGATGAGCCCAGGAAGCCACCAAGAGGTAAGACTTCCCTTGAAAAGGAAACCAGACTGTTCCCATTGGCTGCAGAACAGTAGCCGAAGCTGATTATGCTGAGAATTTTACAATTCATGTGGAGAAAGGCTTACTGCATTTGCAAAAATGATAGAAGGGGGAGACGTATATAGCACATCTGAGACAGATCCCTTTTTGGGGGCTTCTCTGCACTGCAGCCTTAAAGCTGTTTGTCTCCTGTGCATAAGCCAGCTAGAAATGATGCCAGCTTCATATTGCATCCCCTTACTCCATTTTGGTCATAGCAGTTGGCCTAGCGTTCTATCTGGACCATGATTACCACAGCCCCAGTTAGTGGATTCTTCTGTTTCTTTACTTCTCCTGGAGAGGTTAAAGGGGGAAAAACCCACAGTTTTAACTATTTTTCCAGTCACTTGGACTAGAAGGGGGAAGTGACAGACCTTTTGTTAATTTCACCTAGTTAAAACAACTCCAAAACTAAGGTAGGTTCATAGTTTCACTGTTCCATCAGTGACTTTGTGAAAACAAAAAAAGCCCAGCAGGTGAATCTGACAGCACCACTTGAACTGACAAAGTCAGAAAACACTACTTTTGATACAAGAAAATGACGGGCAGAAGTTGCCTTCCTGGTGGGCTGCGCACAGGAAGAAGACAGCAGAGCATGTTCCGGCCTTTGAGATATAATCAATAGCCCATACTTTTGTTGGGTCAAGCTTGTGCCTTTGTCATGAGAACTACCTGCAGAAAATGGGTTTTCCTAGAGGCTTAATATGGATGTGTGGAAGTCTACTGGCAATTCATGAATAATAACTTGCTCTGAACTTAGATATATGTTAACTCGAAACAAGACTTTCTTTGCTACTGTAAAGTATTTTCAAGATAGAATGGATTTATGATTTTTGACCTAGACTTTTACAAAATATTGATGATGTTCTTGCTTTGCTGAAAACATCAGTATTAGAATCATGCTTAGATGTTTCATAGCCATTAATCAATTGGTTGATTGATACATTAAAGTATGTGGAAACACTAACTTTTTAAAACTTAGAATACTAAGTTACATAAACATTTCCTCACCAGTTGGTTTTGCTTTGGGCTGTATGCTTCTACGTGTTGTTGAAAGTCGTGCTCCGTGACGGCTGTGAGGCTCAGTTTGGGTTTTCTGGCGTGATAAAAGAGGCCTCCTTAGCTAGAAAACATGGATGCAATTGAATTAGACATGGAAATTCCAAAGTTCTGAAATACTTACATCAGTATTTACCTCCCATCTGTTCCTGTCATGCCCTAAATCAGAAATCACAATCCTTTTTTCACAGAGATCTCTGAGATTCTTTAAGGTAAAATCTCTTTTTTATCCAACAAATTCCCTTAAGCAAGTTATATAGACTTTCATTCAATGGACTGCAACCCTGTTGTGAACTCACCTGTCTTAGACCTCTTTTTCTCCCTAATGGTTGCTGAAGGAGGAGATTGTGGTGTCCAGGTTCACTTTGCACACTTGCTACCCTGTGTAAGTGTCAAGAGTATGAGCATGACCACAGAATAACACAGACTAGAGAAATAATTCATTTCTTTGCAAATGTTGCTAAACAGTAATGACATAGTCACTTCAAAGATCATACAGTACCATCTTTGAAGGTTATGGGAGACTATTCATTTAAGTTGTATAGGAAGAGTAATGGCGCTGAGGATCCTCCCGTTATCTAAAGTCTGTTTTTAGCCTTCTTTGACATAACAGATGAAGGGAGAACAAGTATATTGCAAATGTTAAATATCAAATAGAAACATACTTTCTTTGCAATCAGATTTGATAGTTAACCCATAGTTTTGAATAATTGGAGTTCAGTACAGAACAAAATGAATGATGAACACAGTTGACAAAGGTTTAACTCACAGGATTGGCACAAGACTTATGGAAAAAGTTACCACAGTGAACATATATTTGCAGTTTCAAGTTAATATTAGATAAGCACATCTCAGAAAAAGTGTAATTGGGATTTATTTATCATGTTATTTATACCCCACTTTTCATCTTTGGTAAGGATTCAAAGCAGCTAACACAGATTCCAAAATGTTAAAAATATAGATTAAAAATAAAAATAAAATAAATACTGCCAATACCTAATTATGAGAAGCCTAGCATTGATTTCCTAAACACTGAGAGAGTGGTAACCAAAGGGAATGCATTCTCTCCCATGTGCCGGAAAAACAGGCCTCTGACAGTGGGGCTTCTTCAGGGAAGCCTCAGGATTGTCCTGCCAGTCTAGATAACGAGACACATTTGCAGTGGGACAAGAGGTCCCTTAAATAGTCAGGCCGTAAACTATTTAGAGCATTTGTGGTCAATACCAACACAAATTATGGCCAAAAAGCAATTGGCATATTTTGATTCTCTAAAAAATGGATTTAACGAATTATCAAAGGAGTCTGCATACTTTTGTAATTAAATAGGCAGGAATATTTTACTGCAGCAATTATTTTTAAACTTCATGCACATTAAAAACTAGCTTCCTCAATCTATTTGCTCTCCTGCCAGCATTTTAGTGGAAAGCAATGATGTTAGGAAGGCAACCAATTCCTATCTTAGTTGTAAGGTAGAAGACTGCTTTTCAGTGGCTAAATGCTGATACGTTTTCATTCAAACTTTTGCATACAGGTAGTCCTCACTTAATGACCACAATACAGAACAGAAAATTTGTGGTTAAGTGGGGTGGTGGTTAAGTGAGGTGCGCCTGATTTTACGACCTTTTTTGCAGCGGTCATTAAGCAAATCACATGGTTCCCCATTGATTTTGCTTGCTGGAAGCTGGCTGGGAGGGTCGCAAATGGTGATCACGTGACCCCAGGACACTGCAACCGTCGTAAGTATATGATTGCCAACCCCTGGATTGCGATCACATGACTGCAGGGGTGTTGCAATGGTTGTAAGTGAAAGGGCCAGTTGCAAGTCCCTTTATTCAGCACTATTGTAACTTTGAACGGTCACTAAACAAATGGTGGTTAAGTGAGGACTACCTGTATTCCATTACTAAATCTGTATACAATTTAACATTCTTCACAATGAATTCTGATGTTGGTATGCATTATTTTTATGCTTTTGGCCTCTTTAGTTACTCATAAACTATCTTCCCCTATTAGGAATGTAAAAGTTTAATAAGTAATGCAAGTAAGAATGCAGAGAATGGTAGCTTATGCTCTAGTTTACTCAAGTTGCTTTACCTGTAATAATCTCAGAAAGTTGGCTGGAACTATCTGGGATGCCCACCCTATCACGCTACGTATGGCTGCCCTTGCATTGTATTACTCGGCAGCAGAGTACGTCTGCCCCGTTTGGGGCCGGTCTGCACATTCTATACATGTGGACAGGGCACTTAGTGATACATGTTGCATTGTTACTGGATGTTTGCACCCCACTCCACTTGATAAACTGTATATCTTGGTGGGAATAGCCCCACCAGGTGTTAGGAGTGTGGCACAAGACGTGGAATATAGAAAGGTGTTACACAATCTGGCGCACCTATTATTTGGTCAACTACCTCCCACAAAAAGATTGAAATCAAGGAGTGTGTTAGATTGCGCTGAGATTGTTACCATACCTCAAACAGAACAACTAAAAAAATGGAAATCCCAAGCAAAACATCTTTATGATTGAATAGAACTGCTTGAGGAGTTGCCTGGAGGTTCGGAGGAGGAGTGGACGGTTTGGAGATGTTTAAATAGACTGCGCACTGGCCTGGGTAGAACTAAAGATCAAATGGAAAAATGGGGATTTCTTCTTGAGGACAAGGATATTTACTGTGAATGTGGTGCTATTCAAACAACTATCCATCTTTTACAGTGCCCTTTGGGACCAACATGCACACAG